TCTGGTGAATACAGTTCATAGGCAAGTGCAGAGAACAATATATACATTAAAACTGAAACTAGCTGAGGACTGGGTCTCATGACTGTTACAAACTGGTGTCTTCTCCTAAGCTGAATGACCAACAAGCAGAAATTACAGGAGAAAAGAATTGAAAACATGGACATTTACAAACCTCTCAGTCTCTTGATTCTACCCCCTTTATGGAAGGGGACTTCAGGTTCAAAGGGGAGAATTTCAATGGCTGAAGGGGCAAAAAATGTACAAGGTCACTTTCCCTGTTCCACTGTTTTTGTCCTGCAGACTCTTAATTTTCTCCTGTCCAATGTTGCAGAACAACATTGCTCTGTTACCTGGCACAGGGAAAGCTGGCAGCCCTACTTCAGTTCAGATTTCAGCCTGAAGCTTGAACAGAGTTCAGAGGCTTTCGGAATACAGCTGTCTTTGAGACTGGTTTAAACAAGCCTCCCAGTGTCTTTTTCAAACGTGGCACCTCTGATAACCACCTCCCAATGGATGGCCACCATCCTCACTGAGTTTAGATCACCAGTACCAGGCACAAAGGTCTCACAAACCATGCATAAACAGAATCCAGGACCCAAATTAGCGCCAATACAAATAAATGAGACAGGCTCAAAGCTTAGAGGAAACTAGGAGGCACACTAGCTTTGACTCTAGAGTGCACAAACTTGAACCCAGGGCCATTGAGTTATAGTGTGCTTTAGCAAATGTTCAAACAGCAGCATGATAAAGGTCTGTGAGCATGTAGTACTGCTTTTACCATTGACTTCTACATTACTGCTTGTCCCTGCGGCACTGGCAGTACAAGGCTTGCCGCGGCCAGCACTGCAGTGACCTTGCCGTGGAAACAAGTGCTCAAGCACGCTGGAATTCTCAACTTGTGCAGAGAGTGCTTACGGGATCACGACTCCAGAAGAGTGACTCCTGGAGAGAGATACCACACAACCACCTCAAATTTATGTTCCTTGCTTTAATGTACTAGTGCATAGTGCTCTGAGATATCTTTCCTATACTTGTATAGACTCTGGGACTATTTAAATTAACAGAACATAAATGCAATGGCCATTTCCTGTAGATTGTTCCCATCAATAGAACAGTTTTTTTAAAAATTCTAAATATTTCAACAATTTGTGCTGAAATACTGCCTGGCTCTGAATACATGCATTTATTTCTCATTCTTGTGGAAAAATTCACAGACTACTTCATTCTAGCCTCGCTACTTTTATTTTCCAGAGGAATAGCCATGTTATTCTGCTTCAGCCAAACAAATAATAAAAAAGGAAGCAAGGGTTTTGTGGCATGTTAAAAACTAACACATTTACTATTGCATAAGTGTTGGTTGACTGAAGCCCACAGATGTGTGAAATGGGTTGTAGTCCAAAAATGCTTATGCCTTAAAATGCTTATGCCACAAGACTCTTTGATGCTGCTGGTTTCAATTAACTATCGAATTGCTAATGCTCATTACGGTGCCTTATCATATGGTTAACCAAATTGTAAAAAGAGTTCACAGAGAACATGAGAACTTCACTGGGTCACAGCAGAAGCTAGCTAGTAGCTTGTCACCCTGTTTGGGAAGGTAACCACTAATCCAAGAAGTAGCTTCTAGGGAGCACTTCTCAAGCTTCTCTGGAAAGCAGTACCTTTTAAGAATCTAGCGTGCATAAGGACCATGCTTAAATATTCTTATCTTTTGTTTTACTGCACTTGTGTTTCATACTCTAGAGCAGAGCCATTTTCATCTAGATCTCACATTAACACCCCAGAAAAATCCGGTCCTGAAGTTTTGGTGGCCCACCTTTATATGTGAAACAACAGGCAAATCAGCCACTGTTCTAAGCTCTATTGCAGATACTGAACTTAGTCCAGCTCAATAGCGGCAAAAGTCAGTCCATTTGCCACATTTGTCCATCCTACTGTTGGCTGAAATTATTGCGCATTTTGAGCATCCTATTGTGATAACTGGCTGTATGCACAGTGTGTGTCTGTGTGCTTGCTTCGGAGCGTGAAAGGGAAGTAATATTCTTCATTCCCCTCTCCTCTTTCTGCATATAGGTTAATGTGGAAGGGGTCAATTGTGACAGGTGCAAACCTGGTAGGTTTGGACTTTATGCCAGAAACCCACTTGGCTGCAGCAGCTGCTACTGCTTTGGCCTGACATCACGGTGCAGTGAGGCAAAGGGGCTGATCCGCCTGTGGGTGAGTAAGAGGACTGCTGAGCCATGTAATGCGATAATGTTTTTCCTGCTGGTGTCTTTTAGTCAGACACAGAGATGGAGTAAAGAAGTTCAGAAAAACATTTAAGCGATTTCTCCCTTGTGTACGCTGTGAAGTGGGTAGAGGACCATGTTCCATTAGGCAATCAGGGTCAACTCATTCACGAAAAGTCTCAGATACGGTAATAGATGTCAAGGCTGAGAGTAAAGCTATTAAAACCCAGAAAAGGCAATGTAGTCAAGTGAGGGGAAATTGTTCCATGGAAAGATAACACTCTTTGCTTCTCAAATGGAAAGCAGTAAGGTAAAATCAAAACCTTTCCATTACTCTCTGTGTAACGGATTGCTGATCTATTAAGGGCATTTAACTGGTTTCTTGCTCATGTTTTCTTTTTAATTTTTAAAACAAACTGGAAAACATCTATTTAATACTGATTGCTCCCTTTAATAGCAGAAGAAACTTGCTAGCTTTGATATTGCTAGATATTGTTCACAAGAACTGTGCCAGGTAGAAACCCACTGGGTGACTTTGGGCTAGTCACTACTCTCAGCCTAACGAGTCTCTCAAGTTGTTTTGAGGATAATATGAAAAAGAAGAGGGCAATTTTATACATGATCATGGGCTCCAGGAAAATGGTGGGATATTCCTATAACAGTATGAATACATAAATGAGCAACTACCAGAAGCAAATAGATGGCTAGCTGGTAGCAATATCTAGAAGGATTTGGGGGCTTCTGTTGCATAACAAATGCACAGTGAATCATTACTGCAAGACAGTAGCTTAAAGAAAATGTTTGCAGTCTTCCGCTGGCTTCATAAAAGAATTGCAACTAAGCATTGCAACTTAGCCGAAGAGCTTAATCAGTCTTCAAATGAGAATGTTTTGGTGCTATTGTTGCCATTTCTGCCACTGTTCTACTGTCTTGGCTACACTGATTCTATGACTTTATTTAGACCAATAGTGATCAGTGTATACAGTAGTAAAATTTCCTTGTGCTATAACAGGTGTCTGAGTGACCCTGACATTGACACAAATTTCCCCCTGGTGGTGCTCTTAGAAAAAGCCACTATTCTGCAGCACTCTTTGGGGCATTGTGTCCAGTTCTGGTTGTCTCTGTTCCAAAAGGGTTTTAATTTAGAAACAACTCAAAGAATGGGGTAAGAATGATGTCAGAGAAGAGGTTTAGGGGTGAAATGAGAGAGGGGACATCAGGAGGGAAGGAAACTGGGGCAACCTAAGTATTATGTACGTGCCTCAGCCTTAGCCTCCTCCAAAACACTGTAGCTAGACAGCCAAAACCAGCCACCCAGCTGCTTGCAGAATAGGAGGACCATGGAGAAGACCTTTACCCCAGTGCTTCTCTCATGTGCATAAGATGTCTGTGATCCTCCCATTTCTGAGGGCTACACACCCCATTGGCATGTGCCTTAAAATGCTTAAATAAAATATGAAGTTGTACTGAGAGATAGGCCTTTTAAGATATTATCAGAGGGGATATTTTGATGGGATCATTCAAAATATTTAAAGAATTTTTCCATATTAAGATTCAGAAATATGTAGTTTTCACTGACAGAAAAAATAGCATAAAAAACCCTAAGGGGCTGAGACAGGATGATAAAGAAATTTAGGTGGGATTATTTGCAGTAAGCCGTACCTTCCCCCAGCTGAAGTTTTGTTTTTAACTGCTATGGGAAGGAAGAGGGAGACCATAATCCCACAATGTGAAGCTACTGGATGCAAAGCCTTGACCAGGCTAGTGGCTTTTTCCAGTCCTCTCAACTGCACACAGAATGCCAAATCTGTAGCTAGAGATGGGAGATGATCATTATGCAGCTACCCTTGCTCCATATGGAAATAAAGGCTTTCAGGATTCATGTTCCATCTTGCTTCTGCACTGATCAGAGCCTTTTAAACTGAACTCACACCAGAATTTTCAAGTAGTCTTGATACTAGAGAAAGGGGCAAAAAAAGTCAGTAGTGAAGTATGGGGACCAGCTATTCAAGATTCTGAGCTGAATTTCATATGGATGCTGATTACTTGAAGATTCCAGCATTAAGTGACAATTTTGCATGTGAACACAACATTACAGATCATACACCAGAGTCGTAACTTTCATATATCGTTGTGCACTCTACCAAACACAATACAGTTCCATAGTTAGTTCATTCAGCTGCAAGAAGTCAATTGTAGAGTAATCAAATGATGGGAGATCAAAGTATGGCATATATCTATGTGTTACAGCATTCTGTGAAAAGTGAGCATTTTATCCTGAGGTTTACCCAATTTCATTGATCTGTCATAGGCTGGGAAGAGAATATCTTTGAATTGGTAAACATTATATTTAAGCATGAAATCCTACAAACAAATGCCACTGTGCTTCAAGGGACTTAGTCCTGGGCAAATGTGTAGAAGGCTGCAGCCCATGTTAATTAAAGCATTACCCCTTCTGCAGCTTCCCACTATGGAAGGTGCAGGTGCATATGATCTAAAATATTGATTTTGAATTTCCCTAATGATCAATTGTCTCTTTTTTGAAATCTCATATTTAAATTAGGTATGCAGCTTCACAGCATAGTCTCTCTGAACATTTAGAACCTCTGTCTACTCCAATCTATTTCAATACAGATTGAGGGCGACTGCCAAACCTCTGATACACAGGTATCAGGACACTGACGGTACATTTCAAACACTTTGTGCATTAACCAGTTTCTTTCTGATTAGCATGTCTAATGCATGGAAGCCAGAAACACCTCCAGAGTGAAGTCAGGCACTTCATTTTGGCATTAGCACTTCAAAGAAATGTGCTGTCATGCTACCCAATCTGCTACAGATACGGTAGAAAAATAATAATGTCAGCTCAGGGCTTCTTCTCTTCTCCTTGCTAGACTGGCACTTGTGAAGTTCCACAAAGGTGTTTTCAAGGAAGGTTTTATTTGCTTAATTTAATTGCCATATCTTCTTTAGCATCATACTACCAGTAGTTTGTATATGCAGAAGCATGCCTTCCTAATTGTATTTATTTCATACACAACACAATTTCCCTGTGTGTGCGTGCACACATGGACATGTGCACAATTCTCTAGTATGATGGTCTTTCAGAATTACTTCTGTTGTAAGTCTGGATAACATATTTCTGGTGTGCTTTCAGAGCACAGACACATACACATATATAAAACTGGATCAAGAAGAGTCTTCAGTCACAGCTTCAGGAAACAGAAAGAAATATCATGCACAGTTTTGCATAGACAGAAGAAAATCTACGTGTATCAGGAATCCCATTCTGCCATTGGACAGGCTAGAGCCAAAGCCGTGAAGACTTAGCAGTAATGCCACACTTGATACTGTTCATAATTAGCAGAATACTTTTTTTATGTTTCATTAAGTTTTAGGAGATGGACATAAAGATAAATGCCTTTTATTGTTTCTGTGTAATATAGGTTTTGTTTGTGTATTTCATATTTTTCACTTGTATTTTTATTTTGATTGCTTTATGTACTGCATTTTCTATTCATTCTTTGTTTTGTGTACATTGTATTGTTTATTTAGTAAAATGTTTAAATTGCAAAAATTAATATTGCTTTGCCTGGAAAAAAGAAAAGCTGCCATGTTTTTCTCTTACCCATTTAATTGCCTACAGTTAACTCTGAAGCCAGATCAGGTGATCCTTCCCCTAGTTGATGAAAATGTTCAGCACCAAACTGTCCAGGGGATTATCTACCAATATCCAGAGACAATTGCAAATATCGACTTGGTGATGCACGATTTACACTTGGAGCCCTTTTACTGGAGACTTCCAGAGCAGTTTCAAGGACGGAAGGTAAAGGCTGTAATTTCTGATTGGGCTCTTGAAGTTTTTTCTTTTTTCTCCAGAAAGTCTAGGAAAAATTGGAAGATTTATGAGGAGCAGTCATGATGTCAGTGCAGTATTACATAATGTCAAACATAATGATATATGTTATTTTAAGTATCAATGCCTATCGATGCCAGTGTGTCTAATAGTGTTGCACTGAGACTTTGGGTCTCAGCCTGACCTACCTCACAGGATTGTTGTAAGGATAAAATGGAGAGGGCAAAGGCCACATAGGTCTCTTTGGATTGTATGCAAGAGGGAAAAAGTAAAATACAGTGATTTGTTCAAGTTCTTTATTCCAAGTCTTGCGTCCAGTCTCAGGTCTTTACTTTTAAGTCCAAGTTGACTTAAAAGTCCAAGTTGACTCCTCAGATCATTCCAAGAAAATTCTGAGTCAAGTCTTTTCCCAGGTTCCCCCTTTACCCATCCTCTTGTTCCTCCCTCCCACTGCCTCCCTCATGCCAAAAAGAAGAGCTGAAGCGTTCCTTCCCCCAATTGCGGCCCCCTCCTCCCTATCCTGCCCCCACCTCCTTGAAACACCCTCTCTCCCACCACCTCTGCCATTTTTGTGCCTGTCTGCCGGGATATCTTGCCACACACTAATAAAAAATTTGGAACTCTTGAATCAAGTCACTTGCTCGTTGCTCTCAGGTTGAGTCTTGAGTCAGGCTTGGGAGTGAGTTGCTTGACTCAATCTGCAGCACTGGTGGAATATAAATAAGAGCAATGAAGAAAATTATTGTGGGAAAAGATAGCTTGTAGGCACTTTAAAATTTTTCTTCATGTTATTCTTTGATATTATTGTTTATATTAGGTAGGGGTTTGAGGATGTATTGCAATGCATTTTAAAAAGGTGGAATAAAGAGGGCAGAACTTACGTACTCATTTTTCCCCCGGATTGAGACAAGTTCCCTTGGAATACTGAACAGCACTCCTGAGAAGCGATCCCAGGCTGAGTCATCGCTGTCTGAGTACTGAGGAAAACATGAAGACAGTACAATACTCCAAGTGCATCATTTTCTTTCTGCCTGTGGCTATGATTGACCTGGATCAATTTGGGTTTATCCAGAAAGGAACACAATATCCTTCTAGCTGACCTAACCCTGTCAGCCATATGGAGATACAGGATGATACACTTGGGAGGCACAGTATAAAAGACTACCGCAGCATCCACCATATTGGAATGTGCTTCACGTTAGCTTGATGTAGGCTGGCATTTCCAGAGGGGCTGACCTGATAGTCTGTTACAGAAAAATAACAAAGAGTGCTGTGAAAAGCTAACAAATAGCTTTTCGAGTGCCCATACAAAATATTCGAGTGAGTTTGTTTCTTCAAAAGGTTGTACAATTCCATCGTAAGTCATTATGCATGTTTGTAGATCAGTTATGTTGGGCATGCAAAATAGAAGTCAACTGATCAGGCTGATATTAATTGAAAATACTCAGAATGTATTGTAAATGTTTTGAAAGATACAATTATCAACAGCTATGTAAGGTTTAGGTCAACAGAATGATTTTTTTTTTTTACATTGCATCTGGTTGAACAGCTTCTCTCAGTTTAATATACGTGTCCCACAGAAATGTTTTTCGTTCCAATGTGTGTGTTTCTGAATTCCAGCTGATATTTATCTGGATTTTTGTTTTGTTTTGTCAGCTGATGGCTTATGGGGGAAAGCTGAAATATGCAATCTTCTTTGAAGCACGAGATGAGACTGGCTTTGCAACCTATAAACCTCAGGTCATAATCAGAGGCGGACTTCCCACACGTACACAAATGATTGTCAGGCACGTAGCCGCTCCACTGAACGGTCAGTTGACAAGACACGAGATAGAAATGACAGAGGTAATTTCTCAATCCCACCTGTTCAAGAATTTATGTCGCTGGTACTTTGGAAACAGTTAAATCATCTGCACTATTTTCCCCCGTTTACCTTTCCAGCACGAATGGAAATATGGCGATGGCCCAAGAGCCAGTGAGGCTGTGACCCGTGAGGACTTCATGGATGTCCTGTACAACGTTCATTACATACTCATTAAGGCCACTCATGGAAGCTTCATGAGGCAAAGCAGGTAACCATAATGCATGGAACATCGTACCACTGGAGTCGCCACCCTTTCTAGGGGAAAGCTGGAAGCCACCAAGCAGCACAGTGTTCTATACATTTTGGTCCAGGGTAGCCATAGGCTTAATTTCCCCTGGAGTAGGCCAGTATATGAACTTTTAGAACTCTACCTGAAGAGAAGAAAAAGAAGTCAGCATCATCAAGAGATGGGCATTCAAAGCAAGCCTGACTGGCAGAGTCTCTCATTCTGCTGCTGCTGATGATATTCTATAGCAAATGCATTCAATAAAAGAATTGAAATAAGAGTCAGTGCAGTGTAGTGGTTAAGAGCATGAGACTGGGACTCAGAGGATCTGGGTTCTAGTGCCCGCTCAGCCATGGAGCCAACTGGGTGACTTTGGGCCAGTCACAGACTCTCAGCCCAACCTACCTCACAGGGTTGGTGTTGTGGGGATAAGACGAGGAAGAGAATGATGCAAGAAACTTTGAGTTCTCAAAAAGAGGTGAGGGGCAAGAGCTGAGAGAGCTGAGCAGCAAAAGCTCTTGTTGGCAGTAAAGTTGTCAGCCAGTAACAGAGAATTTGCTGGATTTTGAGGGGAAGAGCAAAAGAGGACAAAGGGCTTAGAGCCCTTCAAGAGGTGTGTAGGCAACAACCTTAGAAGTCTGAAATGATGGTTAGCATGTCAAGGGAAAGGGTGGGATATTCCTGAGCCTGTCACTGCTCGCAGCCTAAGATAGTCCACAGAGTTGTTGTGTGGATGCGTGAGCAGCTAGAATTATGCCCAAGCTCTTTGAAGAAGAACAGGATATAGAAGTTTAATCAGTAAACAATCAGTAAAACAAAAGGATTTAATCTAGGAGATTCAGATTAATCCAGGGAATTAACTGGGTTCTTTTATATTAATTATGAATAGTTGTTAATTTGGAGCAGCATTTGCTCAGACTTGCAATTTTTGTTAATTACCACCACAATAAAGTACTGGAAACCGTGCAAGATATTAAAATGTATGTTAAAGCCAAATAAATCAAACAAAAATTGTGAAAACTAGGAAAAGAAATGTCATCACAGTATAAGCTCTGGTTAGGGACAATTAAGGTTACCATCCTATGTATACTTCCTGTAAGATACTAATTGGTGTCTTGAATAAGGGCCTCAAGTAGCACCATCTACCATGTTGTCTCCTGTGCCATCAGCACTTTAGATACTCAGGAAGCCAGGAAGCATAGCCTTTGGGGAACAGGGTGAGCACTTGACTGTAGTTCTACCCTGAAGGGAATCCTCCTGAATACTGTCAGCTGACTTTACACCATTCAAGTGACTCAGTCCGTTTAAGACCCTTGTGGCTATGCCATATTATCCGTATGAGCATCTTGTCTTGACTTTGAGGGCTCTGGCTCTCCTGTTTGCTCTTCTTGTCTGCCACCTTGGATTGTGAACCCCTTTGTGTCTTGCTCCTTCATCTTTGCCATGCAACCAGACCTTCTGCCTGGCTCTAACCCTGCACTTTTCTCATCTTCTGCCTGACTTTCCAGTATGTCCAGAACCAAGTTCTTTCCCACAGGCCTGTTGTTCCTTGTCTGCCTGATCCAGCCTGCAGCCTACCTGTGGCCATGCCCGCACTCACACTGAGCTCATTACATCCTCTCCTGGTGCTGGTTTGGCAAATTCAAAGTAAGCCCCACTCAACAATGTAGAACTTCTGACTAAACATGCATACATTTGCACTTCACAGGCCTGACAGAACAAGCCAATTTTCACAGTTGTCCTAAGTGACTGAGTTCTGTTCCTTAGGTATACCATCTCCCACAATTTTTCCAGTTCATGAAAGCCAGGATGCCACTTAAGTTCACTGCTCACATGAACAAATTGAACAGTTATTAGTAAGGTATTGATCACAACTCAATGTGAAAGAGCAAGGCATGCTTCCCTTGGCTGATTTGAATACCCTATCTTTATAGATGACCAATATCCCTCTCTCTTGTGAACTGGGTCTAGTCTTATTTTGAATTCACTGTGTTATTGGACATTTATATCCTGATACCACAGAATTCTGACAGAAGGTTACATTGTGGGGAAAGGAAGTGGGTAGCTATTTAGTGTAGCTTTCCATTCCCACGTTGGCCATCCAGTTGCCAGTTTCCAGGGGAGGAATCCTCTTTTAGCCCAGGGCCTGAAGTACTATTCCAGTGAGCTGAAAATACCCCTTTGCTGTAGTACAATGTTTAGCCAGGAGCTAAGAGGTAATTCAGCCTTTTAGAATGGGGAAAATCTGCACAAAAGGCAGGGAACCATTAAACCATTGCTAGCTGGAAGAACGAAGATAGAAGCAAAAGAACGTATCATAACTTCTAGGTGGTCCCCAGAGGGCTAGATTTGACTACTGGCCCTGACGTTCTCAGCCCTGCTTTGTCCTGTTTGAGTTCCTCGGCAGCTGGTATTCAGAAGCAAACTATACTTCTGATAAATATGTAGCTATGATGATGAGTAGTCCTCGATTGCTTTATGCTCCATGAATTTGTCTGCTCCTCTTTTAAAGCCATCCGACTTGGAAGCCATCACTGCACCCTGCTATAGCAAAGGCCATAGGTTAATAATACTTTGGGTGCAGAAGGACCCCCTTGAACCATGATGCTGCCTAGGTTTTACTGCTGAGAGAAGGAATAGAGAAGTTTCCTCTTTCAGTTTTAGCTATTTTAACCATATCTATTTTCGGGCACAGATTTTCTGAGATGTAACATTTGTACCATTTGTCTTGAAGAAAAGAGTCCAGAATACCACCCTGCAATGGCATTGCGGAAGGCCAACTAGGGAAAGTTGCTGAAGGGATTCACTGTCCCTTTCGCCCTGTGTTTCTGCCAGATTTGGCAAAGCCCCAGTTTTCACTCCAGTGTCTAGTGCTGCTCCTTGCTGTAAGTTGAGTGCTGCTGAGGTTCTTAATTTGTTTCCACCAGGGAGCCCAACATTCAGTGTTTTGCACTTCTGGTTAAAAATGGCAGAGCTGCCAAAGATCTCTTTTCCTAAAACCCTGAAAAATTGGTGGAAATTCCTGGCTTAGATGGACCAGTTATCTACGTCAGTATATAACAGCTCCATACATTTCATCTCCATTGTGTCTACCATCTCACCATGTTAAATGTACTGTGTGGTCTTGAATGGTTTGGAAATAAACATGGGGTGCTGTATGTGTGATTCCATACAACATTTTAAGCTTACTACACAAGTGGCATCCTCAGGGGTGTCAAGCGAAGGAAGGAGGGCTGGGAGACCCATAGCTGACTTAGTGAAGCAAGGCTTTTTCTTTGACTCTTCTTGAATGAATTCTGAAATGTATACAAATAGGAGTGCCTGAAATGTTTATAAATGCAGCCCTGCAGATCACTGATATATTTCAGCAAACCATGATAAAGAAACCTTATGCTGATGATATGTTGAAGTGTAAAAATAGCTTAATTCTAGTCATAGCTCTATATTAGCTATGTCATTTAGCAGCAACACTAATCATGTTTCTTCATGGAAGTGATGCTATTACAGAGGATGATTCAGAGGCTGCCACTGAAAAGCTGAAGCCAAACATTTTTCTCCTGCTGTGTTAATTTTCTTGTTCCCCCTTTCACATTTCGTCCTCAAAATTGAAGCATTTCTTACTTTAGAAGGTTTTCCTTTTCAGGGAAGTAGACTATGCCTATCTATTTGAACTAGAATGATGTGTCCTGTTTTAGTGTTAATTGTTTCAGCAGCCCTGATTTTAACTGGGTATTTGCGTTCAAACCAAAATGCTACAGCTAACAGCCAAGCCACACTTTCCATGAGCACCACTTTCTAACCAAGCATGGGTAGCTTCTGTGAGGGCTAAGTGTGACGATTTGTGCATCTAACTACTCTCTGCATGCACTTTGTTTTTGGTGCACATGGATGCTTCTGCAGCCTCCAGAGTGTTCAGTCTCTGTGTAAGAAAAGTACAGAAAATTATGGATAAATCTTCACAGAGACACCACTGGCAATGTTTCTCCCTATGAACATTCAAACCTTCCGTGTCTTCTCCCCTTCTAGAGTTTTGCTGTAGTACATACATTACTGCTTATTTATCTCTCTTCCTTCCCCCAGTCTGTCATCCCATTCCACACACATCCACACCTGTGTGTACACATAGAGGCTTATAGTTTATCACTTGTGTGCTGCTTAGTAATTTTCTCTGAAGTGCAAGTTCCACAATTAAGTGAAAGGCCACACTACCATTTTTGAGAGGGATTGTCCTACAAGGTGGATTAAATCTTTAAAATCCTAAATATTACATCCTTTGCGAGTGTAGATGGCTGGGACTTGTAGCCTCCTTTCCATCTAAATGTTCAAGGATTGCACAGTTAATAAATATTCTCACTTGGGCAGGTTTGTGTGCCTAGAGCAGTGTCTCAGTGATCTTAGAAACTGGGAGGTGACCTGTAAGTCCGTCTATTACAAGAGCAGTGCACTGAGCTCAGTCCCATGAGCAGAGACAACACATACGATGTGGAGGACACCCAAGTACACATAGAGTAAGAGGCTGAAAAGGTCATATTGGCAGCATCTTGCACAAAACATTTATCACCTAAGTGCCTTCTAACTAGACAGAGATCTAAACAGAAAAGGAAAGGAAAAAAAACCGCAACCGTGTTCTCTCTCCCCCATCCTTAAAGAAAGAGAAAGGTCTTTATCTGGTTTGACAGAACTGCATTTGCATATGCTGCAACATATGTTTGAGTTTCTTCATGATATTCTGACCAAATATTAGATTCTGGCTAAAGATCTTAAAAACTGCTACAATCACCAGTGTCTTTGAAGTCTGTTACATATCCTGTTCATTTCATTTTCCGAGTTCTGGAATTTTGGCTCTAAATAAAAAAGAAAACTGTAGGTGAATAAGCAACATGAATTTAAGATTGTGCTAGCTTTGATCCTTCTTTGACACAGGCTCAAATAAGTGTTGTTGTTTTTCTTATGTGGATGATGCCAACAAGTTGCCTATATTCATATATGACAACTAAAGTTAAAATCAGCTCTGCAGGGTTTCATTTGCTAGTTGTAATTTCTTCTTCTCCCTTCTAGAATTTCTGAAATCTCCATGGAGGTTGCAGAGGAAGGCAAAGTATCTGGAAGAACCCCTCATGCCCAAATGATTGAGAAATGTGACTGTCCTTTGGGTTCTTCTGGCTTGTCATGTGAGGTAGAGTAGTTTGTCTAAATTTGTTTCTGTGCTGAATTCAGTTTATCCATTGTTATGCTCTCTGAAGACTAAAACTGAATGGAAAGCTAGGGTGGCATAGGTGTTAGAGTGTTGGATGGGGACTCAAAAATCTAGGCACTAGTCCCCATTCAGCTGTGAAGTTCAATGGGTGATCGGATCCAATCACTGACCCTCAGCCTAAGCTACCTGACAAGAGTTGCCATGAGGATAAAATAGCTGTGAAGCTTTGGAAGAGAAAATGGCATTATTTCATACAACTGGAAGCCACTGTGGAGGTTTTCTAGTCAGCCACTAAGTGTAGGATATGTGATGCAGGATAAAACAGCAGGAGTGGATAACCTTTTCATTTCCAAGGGCCACATGTGCAGGTTGGGAGCCATGCACACTTACATGTACATAGATACATCCCAATGATGCTGATATGGAATGCTCTTTTCTCAAGGCTAAGACTAAGCTCAAGAATGTTCTGTGTGAGGAAATCACTAGAGAGAGGATTTTGCAGCAATGGGGAATCAGGAAAGGCCGCTTGTGTGGGACACAAACAGCTCTCAAATCATGGATTGTGGACCCCATCAAGCATGCTTCATAGAATCATAGAATAGTAGAGTTGGAAGGGACCAAGAAGGCCATCGAGTCCAACCACCTGCTGGTGCAGGACACCATGTTACATCATCCCACTCAGAAGGCTGTCCAGTTTCTTTTTGAAGGTCTCTAGTGTGGGAGAGCCCACCAACTCTCTAGGCACCTGTATTGTTCTGACAGTGAGGAAGCTTTTCCTGATGTCTAGCCTGAATCTGGGTTGTCACAACTTGAATTGATTAAGCTGTGTCCTACATTCTGGCATAAGCAAGAAGAGATCTTGACCTTTCTCTTTGTGACAGCCCTTGAGGTACTTTTAGAGGGATATCATGCCTCCCCCTCAGTTTTCTCAAGGCTGAACATACCCAGTTCAGCTTGATTGATGGCTGTTATAACCCCATACCACAATTGTTTTTTCTGACATATCTTGCCCTGTGTTTCTCTCCTCTTGCGTTTCCATTTAGCTAGGAAAATGTCCAGAATATGCTGCAGTTTTCAGTTCCTTTGCATTCTTCTCACTGCATGACTAGTAAACTCCTATGCATCAGAAACACAAAGAATGTTGATACAGCTGTACCCTAGATTCATATTGAGGTCACTTCTTTGCTAGATTTCTCTGTGTTCACAAGTTCATGCGTGGATTGGTAAAACACTGCATAAAAAACGCTGCTCTTCTGCATTGTTCTGATTTTCTTTTATGAAACTGAGTATACTCAAAGCAGTCTACAAAACAAAGATAAGCACTAGCAATACACACTTTGAAATAGTAAACCATGATTTAAAACAATATGCCATAAAAACATAAATAATTCTATCATTAAAAAAATCTGGATGGGATGCAAACATACTTAAACTAGAACTGACTGAAATCAATAGAACTTTTGTCATAATCTCAGCATGATTAATCTTGGTTTATCCTTGTGCAACAACATTAACTTGTGGTCTCCAGAACTGTAAAGACATTTTAGTGTACTAATGGTTGGGGGTGAGCAGAATTCTTTTTGAGACTTTTGATTGAAAATACATGCCATATTTTCCTTTGATTTCTCTGTGGTGTTATTGTATTGCTGCCTTCTGAGGTCTCTGTTGAACTGAATATTTTGAGCGGAATATTTCTTGAATCAATTCTACCTTATTATAACATATTGGGTCCTAAGCTGCTGCATTTAAATTTGTTCTGTTCCTGTTTAATTTACCTATATTTTTGCTAAAAAATAGTTATTCTTCATTAAATATAATGAAAAACAAAACTAGCAGAGCATTAAACACCTAATCATATGAATTGGCTTTATACTGCAAGAAAACTTGTAAATAGGACTTTTCCTGTTTGACTGTCAGAACAACCCTATCCACATCTGGCTAGAAGCGGCTCAGTTTCTCACACTTTACAGTCTGTGCAGATAAATTTATCGCATTCCAAGGAGGAAGTGGAGGGGCAGATGATGTGGCCCTTTCAGGTTTACTTTGGGAAGATTCTCAGACAGAGTATGAGAACCAACCTGCTTTGGAAGAGGAGGAAGACTCTTTGGAGCTGAAGGGGAGGCAATGGAGTTCCTTGAACCAGTCAGGAGATAACAAGGGAGATGGGCAGACAATTTCAACATGTCCGGTGTTCCTGCCATCTAGCTCTCAAGGAGCAAGAGACATCCTGAAAGCTTTTCTGAAGGAGACATCAGGAACAGGAGCTTCAATGTGAATTGAGCTCTTTACAGGAGCAGATGGTTCTCATACATCTCAAGGAGAATGCTATTTTGATTTATTGATTTCTCAAGGAGAATGCTATTTTTATGTATTTATTCTGTCACCTGTTAAATTTTATTTATTTATTAAGCTTTTATATAGCAAAAAAATAGCAAAATTTTGTTCATTAGCCAAAAAAAAAAAAAAAAGGCTCTCAGCATGGTGTTTTGAGCACAGCTCTTAGAAATTTGCAAGTTTCATCCAAATCTGCTGGAAAGGGAAAGAACGGAGAGACCTCTCAACAGTCTGTTCGGAAGAAAGCCATCTTGACTTAATGGATCTCATTACTACATAAGCATGTATAGGATTACAGCCCAAAGCCGGCTCTATTTAAGACAGCTGAAAGTAACAACCACATTTCTTGTGCCCAACTGTCATGTCTGACCTAATAAAGACTGTAAAAATCTCTAAAACCTAAAAAGAGTTTGCTTTCATGCCATCTTTGATGGTATGCTCTCTGCTTCATTTGACTGATGTCTTGCATTTTTTTATCTAGTCTTATACAAAGTTTGTTGTACTTGGCTGAGAAATTTGAAGCATTCAGACTCTAACTATATCTATACATGCAAAGGAGTCTATGGCCTGAGTATCTGATATGGTGGCCAGATATCAACCATTGCTCATGCAATGAGAATTTTTTGTCTTCCTTGTTTATTGTCTTGTTTATGGTCACCACAAAAGTTGGTCTTCAGGACTGGAAGGAAGTATGGGATGTGGAACATGTGCAGCAGGAAGAAGGAGCTGTGAAAGTAGCAGGGGCAGAAGCTGCATGCATTTTTCAGGGTGACTATTTTGTTCTTCATTGACTCAGGGCAGGATGAACAACACAAGCCCTGCCCCCTCCTTGGTCCCAGCATTTTATTTTAAAAATTGCAACAGTAATGTAAGGCATCCTTAGCAATGTTCTGTAGCTGTGGTGGCTGCCATTTGAAACCATGCAGGAAGAACTTCCCACAGGTGCCCACTCCTGATTTAGTGTCGATGCTACTTTTGGTAATTAAAAAACCATTAAATTATCATGTGGTTAAGGCTTCTCTCCATGGAAGACTGAACTGCTACTTTACTGTGGCTTTGTCTGCTGCCTTCATTGTAGGAGGAAAAGTGTGTCCTTTACTGAGTTCTTCCTTGGTATTTTTAATCCTATCCTTATGTATCTATTCTGTTAACCAACTACAAGGTGGTACTGTGGTATCGTTGCTCTATAGGCAATTTGTAGCGATTCATCAGGATTTTCTTCTGAAATGGTGACAATTTAACATTTAATGCCAGCTCTTCTTTCAGTAAAAAAAAAAATCTTTGCCAAAAATGCAGAGGCTAGAGAATGAAAAGGGCCACAAATTCCTATGAGTGAGGAATCACAAATATATAATTAATGTCTGGGGTGGAGAAGCCCCAGTCTTCCAAATATTTGTTCAAAGGCTTGTATCCACCGTTGGTCTTCCATTCATGGAACCCTTATGATCCTGTGGGAGTTTCTAGGAACAGAAGGGGAATGAGGCATTTCTCATAACTTCCGCTGCTCCTGCAGTCCTTCGTGCATCTCTCACACTGTCCTGGGGAGTGGCTAAGCCCCATGGATCTGACAACAAGGCAGAGGCAGCCTAGGAAGCAGAAGGAAAGGCAGACATTGGCCAAAACCACCTGCCCCTTCAATAGAAGTGGTCACGAACAAAACAATGGCAGATTTACTGCTAGTCCTAGGGATGTAGAAGGCTGTATTACGCTGGATTAATATATGCTGAAGGAAAAACCTTTTCTGGGAATAGAAGGGCTGCTCCTGCCACCTTGTCCAGATAGAGACCATGGAGCCAGCCTGCTTCCACTTCTGCAGTGCTTCCCTGTTGCAATGGACAGGAATTAGCCAGCGAGCAGAGACGCTGCATGATGCCATTGGTTCATCCAGCACAGACTGGCCGTGATTCTCCAGATGCCGTGTCTTTCCCCACTCTGCCTGGGGTGCCAGAGACTGGACCAGTATCTGCACTCTAAGTAGGTTCTTTGCCCCTGAGGTGCAGCTCTTCCCCAGCCAACCCCATGTGGTTTTCGAAAGCCCATAGCTGTGTCCTTTTCAGAAACACTATAAATGTATTATAATACTGTCATTGTTGCTATTATTACCATCAGTTGTAGCAAAATTTGCTTTTTTATATCAAGCAATTTTGTAAAATCATGAAAAAGCCAAACAATCCACTTCTATCCACAGGCTTACGATCTAGTTAAAGATGAAATGCATTAGGAAGGAATGGGGAGGGAAGAGTAAAGGAAAGGAGGCTGCAGAAATGGGGAATTGCTTCTTTTTCTTCTTTTGCATCTGTCAGCTTTGATAGTAATTTTCAGTACGCTTCTTGATTTTTACAGCTGGGTGAAGAAAATATATGGGACTGAGATACATTTTATTTCAAGGGCTAATAGTCTCAGGACATGGTAGCATTTTTATTATTTTGAATTCTTTATTTTTATGGTCTTTAAATTATACAAGTATAAATAATGTAGCTATGAAGACATATTTTGCTGAGTATTGCTGGGCATTTGCTTGTTATCTATCAGCCAGTGTGTAGGCAGATATTAGCTTGTCATCTCAGAAAAGCACACCAAGGACAATGGGAATACAGAGTACCTCTGCTCACTTTGCACCAATTCTCTCCCTCCCCCCCGTCCTTCTCGTGTGTGTGCGAGGGATGTGTGCGTGCGCTTCTTAGGAAATAGACAAATGGACACAAGGAAAAATGGTCTAAATGAAAGATTTCTCGTGCTGTAAAAAGAAACGAAGCACTCCTCCAGGGTTCTCACAGCTGCGTTTTCAATTAGGATTGGTTCTGGTTCTTCTAAAGTAGACCGTGCATTGTTTGTCAAACATCTTGCCGCTCGCTGTTGGAATGGGGGAGGTTGCCTGTCAAAACTAGTGGGGAAGAAGATGTGTTTGCAGTCTCCTCCAATCCTTGCTATCTTACTATTTATTTATTTATTTATTTATTTATTATTTATTAAAACATTTTTATGCATTTTTAAACATTTTTAAAACATTTACATTCTTATATAATGAACTTCTAATGTTGGTTCTCCTTGATTTCTTGCAGGCATGCTCCCTAGGCTTTTATAGACTCCGTTCTGTTGACAGACGACCACGCCCAGGTTTAGGAGCCTGTGTCCCATGTCAGTGTCATGGGCACAGTGAGATGTGTGATCCTGAAACTTCAGTTTGTCAGGTATAAGGATTAGGCTTTTCTTAGACTATCTATTGCGTTCCCATTATCTTATCTTAGTTTACTTTATTGGCATATGGGGCATTCACACTGTGGCAAAATAGCTTTGCAAAGTTTCACTTTGCTATTTACAAGTGCTTCTCATTTTGTTCTGTTGATTTTTAATAGATAAATACAACAGTGTTTGTGGTAGAAAACCAAATGCAGTATGAAGGACAGGCACTTATTTCTAGACCTCAGCATCCATGAATGACCTGAATGACCACATCTTCCTGGCACATTTCTGCTTTGTGCTTTCAAATACATTCCCCACCTGAGTTTACCCTTTCAGCTATGCTCTGCATATAAACTGTGGATATTTTCTCAGGCAGAGATCCCTATGGCCACCTGAGTCAGTTTCCCTGTTGATTTCTGTGCACAGATCAGCATAAGCCCTAGGGTAGGGGTCAGGAAAATGGACCATAAGGCATGTTTCCCTTTATTGTTATGAGAAATAGGTGGAGAAAATAGAAGTGTGAAGTATGGACTGATTCAATTCAACAACCTCATGCAGTGGCTGGGGATAGCGGAGACTCTGCCATAGTGTAGGAGACTGTAATGGGCAGATAAGGGAATGAGGAGACAGTATGCTGAGGGTATTTATTTAAAATGGTCAGCCTATTCTGTAGTTACTCCCACTAGATTTTAAGTGAATATATGTCTAAAGAGGTAAACTTGCCTTAGATTAATTTGGAAATTGTACAAGAACTGCTTGAAAAAAATGTATAGATGAACTTGGAATATTTTTCAAAGCCAAACTAAGGCCTAAAATTTGATAAACATCCAGCTTTTTACTTCTTAATCCTCTCTTCTTTAATGGAAAGGAGTAATTAAAAAAAAATAAAAACCTGATGGTCAGGAGCAAATAGCTGGCTAGGAAAATGTATCTATACCATTCTCAATTTTTAATTTTTCTTCAGTGTAAATGGACTGACACTTCTACATTAGATTAAATAGGAGCATAATTTAGAGGCCATCCACAATTTAGAGGAATAAGTAATTTTTTTAAGGCTTGGATTTTTATCCAAGTCAGAGAAGATGGTGGGTTCTTTAAAAGGCTGCCTGTTTTTGAGGTGGGTTTTTGCTTGTCTTGCAAAGTTTTCTGCATGTCCTTAAAACACTTTCAAGATTTTAGTTTTTATTTAGGCCTGCAAGAAGTGCATCAACATCTTTGTATATGGTGCACTCTGGATTTTCCATACCTCTGAATAGTCAGTGCTTGACAAACAGTGGAAGGCCATTAAAGTCTGCTTGGGAGAGCTCTCTTTGGCCCTAGTCCCAGTAGCTGATATTTTGTGGTTTCTTGTTTTGTGCTTCTTCATAGAACTGCCGTCACAACACTAGTGGTGAGCACTGCGAAAGATGCGCTCCTGGCTTCTATGGGATTGTCAGAGGATCTCCGAATGACTGCCGACAGTGCGCATGCCCTCTGACAGTTTCAAGCAACAAGTAATATATTACACATTTGTGCCCTTACTTGTCTGTTCTTTTTCTAGCCTACCTTTTCTCCTTTTCCATGGAGTCCACAGTAGTGCCTGTGAGCCGCTCCCTCCTAATTCATCCTCACAGTAAAGTCCATAAGTTGCCTAGTGAGACCGAGTGGAGACTAGAACCTGTCAGACACTGTAATCGTGGCATCCTCCTGGCTCTCCTTTGCCTTTCATCTAGTACTCTCTCGGGACCCTCCTGCCTCAGTTTTCCATGTAAAGAAGCGTAGTGTATTGAACCACATCAAACAGTGGTCAATGGAGCTGTTAAATTGCCTTTCTTTAGGCATTGCTCCCAGACTAATTAGCTATGTAGAATCTATAAAGGGTGGAAGGTGTAATAGTCAATGGATAATGAACGAGCATTATAAAAATTATTCTCACAAGCCAAGCCAGAACAAAGCTCTCAAGTTCAGTGTGGTCACAAGGGAGCCATATCAAGATGTGGGCTCATATTTTCTGCTGCCATAAAAGCACTACAGTGCCTTGCTGTGGGCTTTGTCATTTATTGAGTTCTTATTTAATGTTATGATGGTTTGGGACAACTTGTGGATGATCAAATATTTTGAAGAAGATACCATTATGTTGAATCCATCTAGTTGGATAAGTTACTTTACATTAATGACCTTTTCATTTTTCAGCAAACATGACTTAAAATGGCATTGCTTCTATGCTGAGAGGTGTCTACATTTTTCTTTCTCACTAATTGTTTAATCTTAAACTGGATTGATCCAAAATAGATTGACGTCAGTTTTGAGCCATGTCTAGTACCTCACTGCTTGTTCTGAAGATTCTGTCTGTTCACTTACATAATGACCAAATTTTGAATTGTATACAGTGTACCTCCAACATATTTGTAACCATCCCATAGCATATTGATCTATTTGTTTTTGTTGAGGGAAGATGTGCCAGGCACACATCCCTGTACCCAGGAAGTTCTTTGTGCATATCAGAGATCCCCAAAGACGCTTCAGTTCTTCTAGGTATAATTAACTAGGCAAACTGAAAAGGTAACAAGCTTCATCAATTCCTGATACACAACCCAGGTAAGTTTCATCAACCTGTACCCTTTGTTTCAGAGCAGGTTAATTGCACCCCAAAGAAGAAAGCAGACTCTGCTTCAAAAATAAACTTTCAAGATTTTTTTAAACAAAATCCCCTTCTTTAATGCAGTCAATTCATCTCACATTTGGCCTTCCTCCTCTTCTGCCTTCAACTTTCCCTAACTTGATTGTCTTCTCCAGTGAGTCTTGCCTTCTCATGATGTATCCAAAGGATTACAGCTTCATACTCGTTATTTTTGCTTCCAGGACAAGTTCTGTCTTGATTTAACTTGGACCCACTTATTCATCTTGCTGTTCATCCAGGGTTTTGGCAAAGTTTCCTGCCGCACCATGTTTCAAACACATCTATTTTCTTTCTGTCAGCATTTTCACACGACACACAATCTTTTCTTTCTTTTCAACCATGTAATACCATGAGGTTTATGGTTCAAGGGATATTTTCTTCTGCTGCTTGTCTCTGAATCTTTTTCAGTCTTTGCTTAGATATGAATAGCTACAGTACCATATTAATAGTTTTTCTTTTCAACTGATCCTCCTATGTTCACTTCTGGGAGGTATGTCCAGTTCAGGTTTGTTAACACTTGACCTTTGCTAAGAGAGTAGTTGGCTTGTATATCATACTTCCGCATACCCATCATAGAGAGCAGCAGAGGCACAGGCTGGGAGAGAGTGCTGAGTGGCCAGGGGACTGGCGAAGGCAAGGTAGGAGCTGGGCAGGGGAGCAGAGGGCCAGGAGCAGCAGAGAGGAAGGGCGGCGTCCCTTGTCTGCGTCCCTTGGCTGCAGCCCAGGCTGTCCGGAGACTCCCTTCCCTGAGACACAGAGGTTTGATTGTTTGTTTGTTTGTTTTGTTTGTGCTGTGCTTTGTTTTTCTTCCAATTTAAATTTAAACTTATTTTATCCGTGTGTGTATGTACGAGTGGGTTTTTGTCTGGGAGAACTGGGCGAGTGAGAGGAACTGTAGGAAAAACAAGGCAGGGGACCAAGGTAAGGTCTCAGAAGGGTTCCCAATAGCAGACCAGGAGATGGCCTTGGCGGGAGTCACGGGTGTTGCTGTCCACTGCGAGAGCTGCAACATGTTTGCCCTTCTCTCCCAGGAGAGGCAGGGATACACTTGCCCTTGGTGCAAGATGCTGACCCTGCTAGAAGAGGAGGTGAGGTGCCTGAGGGCTGAGAGAGCTCTCCAGGCCCCCCCGGAGCAGCCCCCCTCTGGACAGAGGGTTGAGGGAGAGACCATGGGAGGAGCAGCTGCAGAGACATGGAGGTATGTCACCCACGGGAGGAGGAGGCCAGCACGGCCTCCTCCTTCTCCTGGCACCAATCTGGAGCTGGGAAACAGGTTCTCTCCACTTGGGTAGGCTGGGGCTGATGAGGCCTCAGGGGACAAGCAGGACACCCAGCCTGGGATGTCAGGTGACAAGGGGGCTGCTGCGGGAGAGGCGAGGGCCAGGGCACTGCTGCCCACCAGCACCAGGAAGGTACGGCGGCGGGTGATTGTTGTTGGGGATTCCCTGCTGAGGGGCACTGAGGCGGCAGTGTGCTGCCCCAACCTGGAAACAAGGGAGGTTTGCTGCCTGCCAGGCGTATGCATCCAGCATGTGAAGGACAGAGTGGAGCGTTTTGTTCACTCCAGGGGTCACCAGCCGCTCCTGGTGAACCATGTGGGCACAAACGATGTGGCCAGGCAGGGTGTGGTTGGAACCACCAGGGACTTTGAGGCCTTGGGGAAGAAACTCAGGGAGCTGAAGGCCCAAGTGACCTTCTCGTCAATCTTACCTGTCTGGGGATTTGGGCCAGGAAGGGACAGGAGGGCCTCCGAGGTGAACGACTGGCTTAGGGGGTGGTACCAGAAGGAACGCTTCGGGTTCTCGACCACGGCACTCATTTTCTTGCCAATGGACTTCTGGCAAGGGACGGGTTACATCTCACGAGGATGGAGAAAAGGTCCTTTGGAGATGCTCTAGTGAGCTTCGTCCAGAAGACATTAAACTGAGCTGGGGGTGGGGGGCGGTTCAGGCCCCCCAGTAACATGTCTGCACTGGACAAGTGTGGGGGGAGGATCAGGGCTCTGGGTGTAGAGTTTTAGAGATACTTCAGGGACTGACAGGACTCCTACAGAGAGGAGCCAGGTATCAGGGAGGATGGGAGGAAGGAGGAGGCTGGGAACTCCAAGGAAAGGAAGCGGTGGGAAGGAGTTGAGGTGCATGTACACCAATGCTAGGAGCATGGGTAATAAGCAGGAAGAGCTTGAAGCTGTCCTGGGAATAGGAGGGTATGATCTGATGGGAATCACAGAAACTTGGTGGGATGAAAGGCAAGTCTGGAATGTGAACAGAAAGGTATCACCTTTTTAGAAAGGACAGGAAGGGAAAGAGAAGTGGGGGCGTGGCTTTATACGTCAGGGAAGGGATAGGATGTAGTGAGATAGAATGCAGCACAGATGGGGATTCGGTAGAGGCAGTCTGGATGAAACTTAGGGGTTTTGACAGGGAAAGAGACCTGACAGTGGGGGTATGTTATCACCCTCCAGGTCAACTTGAGACCCTGGATGATGTCCTGAGAGGCCAGATTCTAAGGATATCTTGTGGGAGAGACACAGTAATTATGGGAGATTTCAATCTCCTGGATATTACTTGGGAGACTCACTCGGCGGTGACAGCCAGGTCACATCACTTCCTAGAAGCTATTGAGGGAGCGTTTTTCACACAGAGGGTCCGAGAGGCAATGGGGGGGGGGAATGGGGACATCCTTGACTTGGTCTTGACCAATAGGGAGGAGCTGATAGATGAAGTACAGATTAGGGGAGCTCTGGATGCAAGTGATCACTCCATCCTTTGCTTTGAGATCAGGGGACTGGGGACGTGCAGCAGGTCGAGCACTAGAAGCTGGGACTTCAAGAGGGCCAACTTTGGCCAACTGAAGGCCAGACTGGGGAAAGTCTCCTGGGATAGGTTACTGGAAGGTAAGCGAGTTGAGAAGGGGTGGATAGCACTCAAAAGGGAGGTTTTAGAGGCGCAAGCCTTGACAATACCTCTAGTCAGTAAGGTCGGGAGGCGGAGGAGAGTGCTGCCATGGATGTGAAAGGAGGTGGTTAGAGGGATTAGACAAAAGAGGAACCTCCGTAGGAAATGGGTACTGGGGGAAATAGACAAAAGGGTATACTGGAAGGAGGAGGCCCGTTGCAGAAGGATTCTTCGCAAGGCTAAGGCTGATTACGAGCTGAGACTTGCCAAGAATATCAAGAGCAACAAAAAGGGCTTCTTTCAGCATGTAAATAGGAAGAGGAAGGGGAGACAAGTGGTGGGACCACTAAATAAGGAGGAAGGCGATCCAGTGACTGATAGGAGGGAACAGGCACTGATGCTAAATGACTATTTTGCTCCTGTGTTCCCCCCAGAGCAGGACGGGGGATATCCGCATAGGACATTAGATGAGGCTGGGGACTTAGGGGCACAGATTAGAGTCACCCCCCTTGAAGTCGAGAGGTCCTCAGGGCATTGGACATTACAAAGGTGCCAGGCCCTGACGGGTTACACCTGAGAGTACTTAGAGAGTTGGCAGGGATTCTCTCATGCCCGCTGGCCTCCATTTTTGAGACCTCGTGGAGAATGGGTGAAGTTCCAGAGGACTGGAGGGTGGCATCCGTGGTCCCAATTTTCAAAAAGGGTAGTAGAAAGGACATGGGGAATTATAGACCGGTTACCCTTACATCCATTGTAGGAAAAACAATGGAAAGGCTCATAACAGAGGGAGATCTAGTGATGCTAGATAGGGAAGGGAGGCTGACAGCCACACAACACAGCTTCCGCAAAAACAGGTCCTGCCAGACAAACCTTGTGGAATTCTATGACAAGGTTTCGAGATGGCTAGATGGAGGGGATGCAGTGGATGTGGTATACC